ATGGGGAAGAGTTATGACCACTGAACACAGAGGGTCACTTAGGCTTACGCAGTGATGCACGACTTTAATTCTGTTGCATTTTGTTTACGATGGACTAAGAATAAGATCTAATGAGGTAGACAATGTCAAAGGAGACGCATTAGTTTAGTTCAGCTCTTTGTGGATTTCCAAGAGATAATCTTGTGCTGCAGCTTGATTGTTGTGAAGTTTTATTTTTCAGATTCATGAGAATCCATTTTCTTTGGCTCCCACTGATCCACTCAAGTCCACAGGGCTTTTGGTGTGGAGCAGGAGGTGCAGACTTTCACATTCATTTGGTCAAAAAGATATTGTTATAATGTGGATGCATGTCAGTTGGCTGCTGTGATTGGCTAGAACTCTTCTGACAGTCCTTTCTCTTCCAGTTCCAGACTTCCCAACCGATCCAACTTTACTTCTATAGCACATTTTACCAACACAAAGTCTACAAAGTGCTGCCCAGAGTATGCACAATATAAAATATACACAATAAACACATTAAATAAAATAAAGCATAAAATAAAAAAATAAGATAGTCAATAAAATGCATAAAAAATTCAAATTTGTCTCCAAAACCAAATTGAAAAAAACGGATAATGAGTAGTTTTTTCAGTTTTCGATTTTGTGTTTAAATGACAAATGGGAAAAACGGATAACAGCCGTTGACCATTTACGTGACTTCTGTGACTGCGATGCTGGACTTTTAAACTGCATACGGACTGAACCAGGACTGATCCAGGTTCAGGACCAGACCGGGACCAGAGCAGACTCCAAGCTTTGACTTCCAGCCTCTCTGGTCCCGAACCTGGATCAGTCCTGGTTCAGTCCATATGCAGTGCAAAAGTCCGGCATCGCAGTCACAGAAGTCACGTAAAAGGGAAACTGTCATTATCGTTTTTTTTCCATTTTTCATTTAAACACAAAGTCGAAAACTGAAAAAAAAATCATTGTCCATTTTTTTCTTTTTGGTTTTGGAGACAAATAATGAAGAAAACAGTTGTTTTTTCATTTAATTATTTTTGGTTTTATATTTAAAAAAACGAATGAACGAATGATACACGGATTGTTTCATATTAAATTTGCAGAGGAAGTGGTTTAACAAAGACTTTTAGTATCACAGCCATGATTTAGCCTTTATTTTTTACAGAATTTTTTTTTACTGAATCGATTTGAAATATATCGTATCAAACCAAAAGTGCACTGTATCGAGATATGTATCGTATCGGTAACTTCTTAATGATACCCAATCCTAGCGACGTAAACTTGTGGATGCAGCATTGAACAGAAGCTTAGAGCTTAACAGGGCCAGGAAAAGACCACTAAATTACTGAAACATGCATGGATGAACTCTAAAACCAGTCCAGGAATGTTTTTGATGAGGGAACAAGGCTTATTGTTCATTATAACATGGCAGAAAGCGCTAAAAAGTACATTTCGCACAATACTCCCTCTTTAAGAAGTGAAGATTGAAAGCTGAGTGTCTTCTGAGTGGTATAATTGAACACTTTATTACAGACATTTGAGTGTGTGTGCGTGCCTGTGTGTGTGTGTGTGTGTACGTGTGTGAGGATGAAGGGTGCTTTCTCTCTCCAGGAGGACAGAGACAAAGATGAGCTGCCAGGCCCGTGTGGATGAATGCAGAGGCCCTGGTGGAATTACCTTCCACAGGGGCATTCATTTTTGGAGAGGGACCTGACAGAGTTTGGGCTCCTCACCAACTCTGGGGAAGTGAGGGAGATTATAACTGACCTTTATAGTTTTGAGAACGAATTGGCTCTCAAACAACGGTATAGGTAACTGCGACTGTAATAAAGCCAGTCGCCATTCTTGTAGCGTTGAATGATACTGAAACTTCGCAGCTGACGTCCTCAAAATTCCCTTGGGGGGTGATGCTAACTGAAAGGAACTGCTCTGTCTGAAGCTCTGTTACTCAAATTTGACTTTAATCTGAACTTTGTTTTAACACAATCTGACCAGAAGGAACTACAACAGGTGAGCTGATTTGTGCTGTTAAACAAATCTACGGAAGCCGAGAGGGGTCACAACAAACGCAAACGTCGCAACAAATACAAATGCGACAACACAGAACAAAAAAAACACAACACACCAAAAAAGCCACAACAAAATGACCGCGGGACTCTATTTTAATGCAAACGCCGCAACAAATACAAATGCGACAACACAGCAAAAAAAAAACACAACGGAAATGCCGCGGGACTCTATTTTAATGCAAACGCCGCAGCAAATACAAACGCCACAACACAACGCAAATGCCGCACACACAAAAAGCCACAAAACATTAAAAAGCCACAACACATCAAAAAAAGCCACAACTGAAGTGACCGCGGAGACTCTATTTTCCGACCGACCGATGAAGCGGCAAGTGAAGAAGAAGAAGAACTACAATGTGAAAAGTAAAGGAACGGAGAAGTTGGAAACGTAAGTAAAAGTAATTTATTATTTTAATCATTATTCGTTTCACGTTGTAGTTCTTCTTCACTTGCCGCTTGATCGGTCCGTCGGAAAATAGAGTCCCGCGGTCACTTCCGTTGTGGCTTTTTGATGTGTTGTGGCTTTTTAATGTGTTGTGTCATTTGCGTTCGTGTTGTGGCATTTGTATTTGTTGCGGCGTTTGCATTAAAATAGAGTCCCGCGGTCATTTCCGTTGTGGCTTTTTTTGGTGTGTTGTGGCTTTTTAATATGTTGTGGCTTTTTAATGTGTTGCGGCATTTGCGTTTGTGTTGTGGCGTTTGTATTTGTTGTGGCGTTTGCATTAAAATAGAGTCCCGCGGTCATTTCCGTTGTGGCTTTTTTTGGTTTGTTTTGGCTTTTTGTTGTGTTGTCGCATTTGTATTTGTTGCAACGTTTGCGTTTGTTGTGACCCCTCTCGGCTTCCGTACAAATCCATCTCAAAAAAACGTTACAGGGAAGCGTCCTCCACCTCCTTGTCGCTATGTAAGGTTATTGCTTTGAACAGAATGCTCCACAGTATGGCATTAAACTTGCAATCCTTAAGTTACATCTGTTTTGTTGCTACTGGAAACTGGAAAATCGAGAATTCTTGACCTGTAACTTCCAGGAGTACAGCACCACACTGGCCCTTTAACCCGTGATTATATCAAAGTTAAATCCGCACCCGCCCGGACCGGTAAAAATTTCACCCATTACCCGCCCGTACCTGTGATAAATTAGGGTCAGTACATTAGTCCGACAGCCCAATATTCCAGGACTGAACCAGGACTGAACCTACACGGTGTTATTAAGGCAGAATAAATATATACACGCAGCAACCGCAGAGCTGATCACACCAAGACTGGACCAGGACTGAACCAGTTCTAAACAAGGACTAAACCAGTGTGATTAGCATAAATATATACACGCCGCAATCACCGAACTGATCGCCAGGACTACAGGACTGGATCAGGTCTAAACCAGAACTAAACCAGGACTTAACCAAGTCTAAACCAGGACTAAACCAGGAGCGCGGGAGCTGAGCCGATCACCTCTGCTGATGGTTTTACATAATAAATAGACTAAAGCAGGGGTCTCCAACCTTTTTCCTCCCGTGAGTTACTGTAAAACAAAAATCCCAGAGAGCTACTAGTTTTAGCAGTTGCCAGAAACAGAGGAAATAGAGAGACAGTAAGCCTCAGACGGGGGGTACAGTTAGGCTACGTTCAGACAGGGCAGGGCTTAACGCTCAATTCCGATTTTTTTGTGAAATCCGATGTTTCTGCGAGGTCGTTCACATTTCCAATTAAATGCGCCTTGTATGTGATCTCCAGTGTGAACATTAAACGTCCCAAAAGTGTCCCGCATGCGCACTGGAGACACAACGACGTCAACTGCAGCGAGCGTCTCTGTGTTTACGGAAGTTGTTAAACATGGACGTGAGCATTGAGCACCTGGAGATTTTAAAGTTCCTCTCGTACCGGAGCCAGAACATGAACAACTTACTTGTTTTAAGGAGGAGATTGAGAAGGAGAAGGACGAGGTTTTTAGCCGTGGCGTTTTGTTGGGACAGCGGCAGCGACGTCCGTTGAAAGGAACGTGTGGATGTGGAGACGTAGCCAAGAGTGGTGATGGTGCTTCGCTTCAGTGACACGGAGTTCATTAACAATTTTCACCTACTTCAGCGCAGAATAGTGACGTTTGTGGCTTGTTGATAACGTGTAGGTCGAATGAATGCGCTTTGGCCGTTCACACTGAAGTCACATGTCAAAAGATCAGATATGTATCAGTTTCAGGACCACATATCCAAGTGGCCTGGGTCACATTTGAAAAAATCAGATCTGTTTCGTTCAGACTGTCATTAAAAGTTCAGATACAGGAACATAGAAGCCAAAAAATCGGATTTGGGTCACTTCAGGCTGCAGTCTGAACGCAGCCTTAGAGGCCTATAAAACATAAACCATTATCCAGTTATCAGTTCTCAAAGTTAGACATAAAAATTATACATTTACAATGGAAATAAGCAATTAATCGATCAAATTGTGGTTATTCAGCACAATACGCATAATTCAAAAATTCCTTGGCAAGCTTCTCGGAAGGGGGTGGAGAGCTACTGGTAGCTCCTGAGCTACTGGTTGGAGATCCCTACACTAAAGTCTCTCTCAGCCTGGTCCATCGTTCCAGGAAAGGACCGCGAAATGGCACTTGTTTTCAGGTATTTTCCAGGTATTATTCCAAGTATTTTTCTTCTGTTCGTCGTTCATTTGATTCACCTGACCTGCCCGTGTGTAATCACTACCCGCCCCATACCCGCCTGTAAAATTCCAGAACGTTAAAGCCCGTTTCAGCAACTATTTGTGGTGCAGGACTCTGTCTGGTAATGCCACTTGTGTGTCCCATGGTGATCATTTTATTAATAACTTATTTAAACCTAACCTGGACTAATCTATGAATCAACCATAAAAAAGTATAAAATGTCGTTCCTTTAAAAGCTCCTAGTGCAGATGGTGGGTTATTTCATCCAGACTCACCGAGGCCCCTGGCTGCGATGCGGCTGCTGTGTGTGGGATCACGGGCCCAGTAGTAGAACATGAGCGCGTGCATGAGCTGCTGTACCGTGCCCAGCCTGCGGAGGGAGCTAGAGACGGAAGAGAAGCCCACGAACTCAGTGGACAGGAAGGTGTACAGAGCCTGCTGCACCTGGGGAAGAAGCACAAATATGATCGCAGTATGAGTATTGAGTAAAGTATTTATCGTAGTATCATTCATCCACTCTCCACAAAGTTCAGGTGGGTAGTAATGTCAGTAGTAAGTAGTATTTTTCTGATACAATTTTTTTGGGATTCGATCAGGTACAGATTCTTGGCCTTAGTGTACTCTCCGATACAGTGCAATACCGCATAGTGTGAAGAAATATATTAAGGCTACTCAATCATAATCATATTGTGGTCTAAATGTGCATGTTGACCACTATATCTGACCAATTGCATGTGATGTTTACGGTTTGTTTTACCCATATTGTTGATGTATTTCAATAGGATAATAAAAAAAATATGTTTTTTTGGAGGAACATAGAATATTACAACGAAATTGCAAGAAAACAACCAAACCGGGTAATTTTTTACGCACTTATGCATCTAAGGGTTAATGTGGGTCCCGTATTTTTGCGCTCTCAAGCCTCCAACCCCATCAAAAAACAACTGCCACAATCCAGAGCGCCCTATACACGAATCCACTCGAGTGTCCCAGCACGACTTCAGTAAACTACAAAGTCGCAACACCCGCAGAACACGCAAACACACACGGAGCAGACAGCGACCGCGCGGCGAAAAACACCCGCAGACACACTCATCACTCCACACCGACGAGGAACGGAACGGAGGAACGAACCGAAAAAGCGAGTCCAATGTGCCGCTTCTAGACGCAACTGAACAACTGAGTCACTGCGAAGTCGCCGACAATCCAGCGGTCCCAGACAGCACCCTCCCTACACGCCACAACTGAACAAAGCCCAGAGTCACCGTGAACGCCACAAACAAACAAAACCACTGACCCATCCAACTGTTGTGTTTCGTTTAAAGTCCTGGTGCGGTTTATTTGTGAAAAAAGTTTGAAAATAGACCATTTAATGACAGTGCGCCTTATAATCCAGAGCACCTTAGTCTTATAGCTTTGGAACTAGCACCACTTGATTCCCTGACCCTGAAAATGTGGGTTTAGCAGTTAAAATCAGCATTTCAACTTATTCAGAGGCTGAGATATTTCAAAAAGACGTTTTTGGTGACCATTTAAAAAAAAAAATTCAATATGGCATATAGACATCTAGGCAAATACAAACATTGATTTTCTGACTGCATACACAATAACCTTTCCAAAAACATAATAGTTTAGTAAATCCCCCAAAAATTCCCATAAAAGTATAAAGTGAACTGGATTATTTGCTCCAATACAAGCGCAATAAATACTAAACCAACTTCTAAAAGGCTATCTCTAAAGAAAATCTATAGAATAAATTAGATATTGAGAACTAAGTGAGTCAAATATATACTGATCTTGACCATAAGTAGTGCTGATTTAAGTCATTAAAAGCTAAATAAAGGTGTTAAAGAGGTAACGCAAATGTCTTTTTTGTCATTATTAGCATGTTTTAAGAGTCTGTAAAGCCTCCACAGTCTATTTAATCTGCTCTGGCTGTACTCAGATTTGGGCTGAGTACTTGTGATACCTGAAAATTTGCGGTATCAGAGCTTTTATTGGAACGACCCTAGAAGTAAGAATCAAACAATCAAGCGCTGGGTCTGTGGGCATAAATGGGGGCAAGAAGGGATGAGTGTCTTGCCCTGGGACACAACAACAGCATTCATCTGTGTCATCTGGGACTCAACTTCCAACCTTGGAGCCAGTGGAACTACCAACCTTTGGATTAGAGGACGAAACTCTACCAACTGAGCGATGGAAGCTGATAGTACATGGGCAGGCTGTGGGCGGGGATAGGTGGATTATTTAAGTAGGCCGATTATTTAAGTTTTCGTCCTACGTTGTGGAAACATCAAGTGGCCATCTACGGAGAAACAGGTATCATCTGTCCCGCACACTGGTGGCTCCACAGCTGCCCATCGCTGTTCCTAGATACATCTTCAGATAACTGCCATGCAGAGACTCAACCAATTTCACCTGAGATACCCCCTGACTCCACCCAGCAGTCTCCACAGTCTGAGAGACGCTATCCTGCCCGGCTCAGAAAAACACCAGAGTATTTGAAAGACTATGTTACTTGAGTTGAAGAGGGTTGGGGCAGAATAATCCCCATTTTCAGACCAAGGAGTTTGGGCAGTCTACTACGACGGAGTATAAGGGTCAGATTAAAAAAAATGATGCTGGCGCTATGAGAATAAAGTCGTAATATTTTCGACATTGAAGTCGTAATATTATGTGAATATAGTCGAAGCCAGAAAAAGTCGTAATTTTACGAGAATAAAGTCATAAATTATGCTATTTTATTTTAGTCGTAAATTATGCTATTTTCTGATCTATGTTATAATATTGTTTCCTCATAAAAACATACCTGAAGTTGTGTTTTGTTTCATTCATACACAAAGAACACAATATTTAGGCTGAGTTTTCTTCTCAGACAGAAAACGCTCTCCACATTTAAACTCCATACACCTACACTAGAATCATTTGGATCATTTCAGCCCTGGAATTGCCAATCTCTCCTAAACAAAAGGTAAAAGGAGCTGTTAACTTGAAAATTTGAGCTTCAGGACATCACAAAGTGGAAGACAAATATGTACACAACAAAAACTGGAGGGTTAAAATTTCAGCATAAAATACTGCAGAGTTGTTTTTAACACAAAGCAAGTGTTATTTTAACTATTTGAAAGTTAAATAGGGGTTAGAGTTGGGATTATTTGCCAGAGTTGATATGGCTGAAGTTAATGCAACTTAACCTAGTGTTAATTCAACTTCCTCTAGAGTTAATTCAACTTCTCTTAGTGTTAATTTGGCTCCTTCCACCCACTACTTCAAACTCCCATGAGAGAAGAACCAGTTTGAACCAGTTTTGTGCATAATTTCATCTTAATAAATGAACAAAAATAAAGTGTAAAAATAAAACACCTCTGTGTGTTGTTTTGCCAAATCGGGATAACCCTCCAAAGTGTTATCCGTTTACTCTCAAAACATTAATATAACTCTTGATTTCGTGGGTTAAAATGGTACTCTGGTCCAGTGTTACTTAATTAACATTTCCAAAAATGTTAAATTAACTCTAGAACAGATTGGACTCATATAAACCCTGAGAAAATGTTAAAATTGACTCTCACAGAGCACTTTTTGCTGTGTATGATTGAAACAAAACACAACTCCAGGTCTGTTTTTGAGCAGGTAACATTATAACACGCTTTAAACCTCACAAGAGTCAATTTTGCATAATATAGGACCTTCAATCCAAAGTTGTCTTGTGTCATAGATCAAAATCTGGACTTCTCCTACGCGGTCTTTAAGTCCATAAACAACTGGATTCATTCTGCAGTCGAAATGTGTTTACAACAAATACATCTCTCTATTAGCACAGCACCCACGGGGACTTCAAGACTTCATTTGTTTACTTTAAGATTGTTCATTTGTATTGCTGACAGCAGAGGGAGCTCATTAGAAAAGTGGATTTTTCAAGTGCATTATTTTAAGTTTGAAAATGAGAAATACCAATCTCAAGGTGATCCAAAGCGTGTTTAAAAGGGGATTAAAGCAACAAGAATGCATGTTTTAAGATATGTTATAACGTTGTAACCTCGTCAAAAACAGACCTGGAGTTGTGTTTTGTTTCAATCACACATGTTTAAGTAATCTATTATTATTAATTTAATCCGTCTACAAGCTCAAAATGCTCTGTTGCACCTTGTTAACAGCTCCTTTTATCGTTTTTTTTTCAGTAGAGATTGCAGTAGCAATTCCAGAGTTGCAATGAAGGTTTATAGAGTTTAATAACACTGTGGAGCACTTCCTGTATTTTCAGAAGGGATGGGCATTCGATTAAATTTAATTAATTGATCGTCGGGAGAATTAGCAACCAATTTTCAATGAATCATTAACGTTTTATATAATTTTTTTTTTTTTTTTTTTGGAGATTGTAGTTGTGATGAGCAATGTAAAATAATTGTCTTTATGTATTTCTTGATTACTGCATAATAATGCAATTTATCATTTACTTTATCATAATGCAATTTATTATTTATGTAAACATCCAAATAAACTTATCAACATATATTCAATTATCATAATTATTAGTACAATTAACTAATCTGCATAAATAAATTCAACTTCACAACAAAGCCTCGTCTCCTTACACTACGCAACCTACATTCGGTTTGTCGATTAAAAATGAACGTAATCGTCAAAATTCTTAATCCCTAGTTACCAAGGTGGAGTGTTTTCTGTTGGGAAAAAAAAAAAAACTCAGCCTAAATACGCAGGGTTTGTGTGTTAAATGTGTGTGAATGAACCAAAACACAACTCCACGTCTGTTTGTGTCGAGAAAATAACACTATAACGTGGATCAAAAATGGCGTAAAATGGGCCCTTTAAAGTCGATCAAACAGCCCTTTCATATAATAACACACAACAATCTCTCCTGAATGCAGAGCTGTAATTCCCCTCAGGAGCAGTCTTTACCTCCTGGCCGGTCCAGCTGGTGCCGTGCGCTGTAGAGGGCAGAGCTAATGGAGCTGGTTCCCTTGGCCCCGGACAGGAGTGCCCACTGACCCCGTATGAGTCACCCCATAACTGCTCCTCTGTTCGGCCGCATGAGCATTTCCCGAGTAATTATCCACGGACCTGAACCGAATGCTAAACCAGAGCCTTCGCCGCGCCGATACGAGTGAGCTATGTCTGTATATTATATTACATCACGCAGTCACGACGAGCGGAGGTGACGCGGTGTGAAGGGGGCTGAGGTCACAGTGGAGGAACAAGGCAGTGAAACATCTCCATTAAAATGCCTCTGACGGTTCGGACTATTCATCTGACTAAAACACAGTTAAGATCATTTTATTTAAGATTTGATCACAAACAGACCTGGAGTTGTGTTTTGTTTCATTCACTCATGTTTAATGCACAAATCCTGCATATTTAGGCTGAGTTCCACTGTGTTTTTAAACTCCATACATCTTCACTAGAATCACTCAGCCCTGGAATTTCTG